GGGTTCGAATCCCAGAACCCACATGGCAGCTAACAACTGTCCGTAACTCCAGTTCCAGGGGATCTGACATCCTCTTCTGTCCTCCACAGGCATTGCACGACATGGGTGCACTTACTTACATGCAGGCAATACACACATACACATAAAAATAATAAAATATTTTTTAAAAATTAATTTATTCCGGGGACTGGAGAGATGGTTCAGTGATTAAGAGTGCTTACTGTTCTTGTAGAGGACTGGGTTGGGGACAATCAACTGTAACTCCAGTTCCAGAAGGATCTGGTGCTATGATGCTCATAAACTTATGCAGGTACATGTATATACACAGAAAAAATAAGTAAATAAATCTGTAAAATAGCTAATTTGTACTTTCAAGCGACAGGGACTATATTGTAGACCAGAATTGAGACAAAAATCAAGGAGGTAACATCTTGACTGGAACTGTATAATTATGCGTATTTTGTCTTTAAAAAAATCTTTTGGGGCTGGAGAGATGGCTCAGCAGTTAAAAGCACTGACTACTCTTGCAGAGGACTCAGGTTCGATTCCCAACACTCATATGGCAGCTAACAACTGTCCGTAACTCCAGTTCCAGGGGATCTGACACTCTCTTCTGACCTCCGTGGGCGTTGAATGATACACACAAAAACATAAAATAAAAATAATAATAAAAAAATTTAAAAAGAATCTTTTGCCACCATGCCTTTAATCCCAGCACTGGGGAGGCAGAGTCAGGTGGATCTCTGGGAGTTCAAGGCCAGTATGGTCTACATAGTAAGTTCCAGGCCAGCTGAGGCTACAGGGAGACCCTGTCTCAAAAAAACAAACAAACAAACAAAAACAACTCATGTTAATTCTAGGACCATTAGCTACTTTATTGGTTTCACGATTTGTAATTATTTTGTCTATTAATTAATTAGTTAATTAATGATTAATTTTTGGTCTTTTTGAGACAGGGTTTTCTGTGGCCCCAGCTGGCATAGAACTCACTATGTAGACCAGGCTGGCCTTGAACTCCCAGAGATCCCCTGCCTCTACCTCCCAAGTGCTGGGTTTAAAGGTGTGCGCCACCACGCCTGGCTCAGTTTCTAGTTTTATAAATAATATATTCTGATTTAGAGACAGGAGTGACTTGCTCAAGGTCACCCAGCAAAGTAATGGAAAGGGAGACAGCCTGCCTCTACCTCCCCAGTGCTGGGATTCAAAGGCGTGTGCCACCTTGCCTAGTTTATTGGGCCTCTTAATGCATCATCAAAATACTCATCAATTTGCATGTGCACATTTTAAAACGGCATGCCAAAATTTTTTTTAGCATACAATAAAATTTAATGAAAAACACATTTAATGAAAAATGTTAGAAAAAGGTTTTTGGGCATAGCACATGAAACCAATTATTATAGAGACAATATGACATGACATGATTACATGAAATCTAGGCACACCCGGAGGAAAAAAATGCAAGAAATTTATATCCCCGTCTCTCTCTTTTTTAATTTTGTTGTTGTTCTTTTTTGAGTCAGGGTCTCCCTGTATCCCCAGTTGACCTGGAACTCATTATGTAGACCAGGCTGGCCTCAAACTCATAAAGATCTGCGTGCCTCTACCTCCAGAGTACTGGGCTTAAAGGCATGCACCACCACAACCAATTTTGCTTTTTTTTGGGGGGGGGTCTTTTTGATACAGTGTCTCCCTGTAGGCCCAGCTGGCCTGGCATTTGCTATGTAGACCATGCTGTCCTTGATCTCATAGAGATCTATCTGGCTGCTCAGCCACTCTAGGCCTGGGACTAAAGGTCCCATGCCTACATATCCATATCTCTTTAAGATACAGGAAAGTCTTCATAGCATAAAAGAGCAAAAGGTGAAGTGTTTTGTTTTTTCGGTCTTTTTGAGACAGGGTCTCCCTGTAGCCCCAGCTGTCCTGGATTCACCATGGAGACCAGGCTGGCCTCGAACTCACAGAGATCCGCCTGCCTCTGCCTCCCAAGTGCTGGGATTAAAGGCATGCACCACCACGACCTGCTAAAAGGTAAAGTTTGTCATGTAGACTTAAGATCATATTTCTCTTTTAAAGAGCGGAATAGCTAAGAGAGAGATGCCTTTATTGATGAAAATGTTATTCTCTTATTGTACTCTAAAGTTTGTTTTTTTTTTTAAACTCTTTTTTGGTCTTTTTGAGACGGGGTTTCCCTGTAGCCCCAGCTGGCCTGGAACTCGCTATATAGACCAGGCTACCTCGAACTCACAGATATCTGCCTACCTCTGCCTTCTGAGTTCTGGGATTAAAGGTATGTGCCACCACGCCAAGCCTAAAACTCTTTTAATCTATAGTGAAGCTAAATTATATTTCCCATGCTTGCTTTTGTATCTAAAATAAATGAAAGAAGAATGGATTCTTGGATCAGGTATCATCGACTGATTCAGTGTCAATTTGGGTTCTAGTTCTCTTCCTAGATCTGGCAATGTTGGCTAGTCTTTTGTCTAGGGTTAGGTAACATAGTTCTCCCTATACAGCCATTTACCCAGCATTTGGGTGTATTGATGTTCAGGAAGCTGCTTTTTCCTTCTAGGCATCCCTAGAGGCCCTTGGATCAGAAGTGCTTCTGCCCAGGGTAAAGATGAAAGACATAGGTACAAACAATTGGTTTTTTCCCCTAACTTCTCATAAAGTGAGAACATAGAAATTTATCTATTTTGACCTCAAAAGTTATAGAAATCACTGGGTGTGGTGGCACATGCCTTTAATCACAGCACAGGAGAGGCAGAAGCAGATGGATTTCTGTGAGATCAAGGCCAGCTCAGTCTACATTGTGAGTTCCAGGCCAGCTAGGGCTACAGAGAGACCCTGTCTCAAAAAGAACACCCCCGACTCCCACCCTGAAAATTCATTGGTGGAAACATTAAGTTGGTGGTTACAGCAAAAGAGAAATCTCAGTTATAGGCCTCAGTTGCTATGTGATGACATTCAGCCTTTTTGGTTGGTGGAAGCTGGGCTTTTAGGAAGTTAATATATCCTAAAAGGTAAAGGTTTTTATGTTAGGCCTGACACAGAGGTAGGCAAGGAATGGCTATTTAGGGGGATAAAGATAGCTCAAGATAAATTAGAAGTAGGCTCTGGACCTGCAGCATTCCAAACTCTTCACAATCACTGAAGTTCTAATCAGTTGATCAGCCTTGCAGAAGGTTCAGTTTAAAGATACATACTTTTTTCCTGGGAACTTTTGTTCACAGTGCACATGTGAGTGAAGGTCTGACAAGGGCCTCTGGACTTTCACCAATCTCCTTCCCAGGCTGGAGTATGGTTCACTCCACCTTCTCAGTTGTTTTTCACTCCCAGACGTAGGAACTCAGTTTCCCAGAAAGAGAATAAATTAAAGGGATGGTGGTCACTGCAGTCGGTGCCTCCCCTTCTCCCTAGGCACTGATTCCTGGATCAATCACTGTGGGAGCCTCCCATTGGGAAAGAGAATTAAGGAATCAGGGACTGGGGACCCAGAGAACCTGGGAATGAAGAATGTTGAGCCACAGGCCACCCCAGCAAATGTCTTACCTATTTGGAAGATTCCCTTCCCCACCTCTCCTGACCCTCCACTCCCCTACTCCTTCCACCCCTACCCCAACACAATGGCTGGGTGGGGCCTGAGGAACTGGCTTCCTCTGTGGAGATGGCAATCTGGGCCCTCAATTCCTGCTCCAGAAAGGCAGGAACAGATACTTGGAAACCTCGGTGGCAGCTCAGTCAGTGCTCCAAGGGGCAGTGCAGACTGGCTGAAAACAGAAAGTACACCAAAATAAAAGGTAAATTCTTGGGATGCCTCTGCAGATGAAGGAAGGAAGCAGGGTGAGGTGTTCCCTAGGTGTTAAGTGTTGCTGGCTCATACACAGGCAACAGACTGGAAGTCAGGGAGACAGGCAGTGTGCAGGTTGTGAGGATGATGCCCAGAGAGGCCACGGAAGGAGACCAGTCACCATCCCTTGGCTGAGATGCAGGCATGCTTATGGCTGTGCCACACTGTCAGTCAGCCCAGCGTGCCACCACCGCCGGGTCCTCATCAGACCCCTTGCCATACAGGTGACTGCGCCCACACAAAGCAGCCCTCTCCCAAAGCCTTCTCTAACCAACACCCTGCATGTCAGGTCCCTCAAGTCCTAGAAGCCTGTGTGCGCATGTGGAGTGTGGCGTTGTTGGGGGGGAGGGGGTGTCCGGTTGGGAGGAGGATCCAATTCCTGTTTCCTGCCCCTACTCACTCAGCCCTGGGAGGTGACTGAGAGTGGAAGGGACTCAAGGGTAAGTGCTTGGGGCCCTGCTATCTTGGCCTTGTGAAAAACCTGAGTAGGACTTAGGGTTAGGCAGTAAATGTTGGTACCTGGGGTAGGGGGAAGTGGGTTCCCGGAAAAGGACAGGGGCTGAGCAGGAGGAGGCCACTGCTTGGGTCACCTCACGAGGAGCTTCCTGACAGCATGTAGCTGCCATTGACCTGCAGTCTGTGAGTCCCTGGTGCCCATCATTTCTCAAGAACTAAGCTGGGGCCTGGACGGCTATAACTTCTGCTGTCTCCTAAAGGGAGTTTGGGGCTCTCTTGTGTCCCAGCTCAGGCCCTACAATCTTCTTGGGACCTCAACTTCTTTACCCGCCAAGGGGAAGAAAAGCCCAGGTCCCAGCGTCCTAGGCTGTTGGTCCTATGCTTTGCTCTGGGCTCCTGGCCACTCCCAGGCATCTTGGCAGAACCTAGCCCTCCATAGGAGCCTCTCTCTGTGACCAGACCCAGGTGTGGCAGAGGATGGGGAACAGAAGAGATCAGGCCGGTGCCTCCTGGTCTCCTGGGGTCAGGGGCTCCAGGAATCTTCATAGCAGGAAAAGGAGACTAAAAATAATCCGGAAAGGGAGAGTCCAGAGGGAGGAACTGGGAAACGGGAGGGGGGAGGAGGCCAGTTGGGAGCAGGGAAACAGTGATGCATCCCTCAGCTCAGGCACAGGCATGCACACATGCAACACACGCACACATGCACGCATACACACACATGTGCCTTTACCCAGAGGCAAACACACATACAACCTCATCTATACTCACACCACACACTCCTTGATGGGCCCTTAATGAGGCACACCTCCCAGTTTACATACAACTCCCATTCATCCAGTACTAGATACAGCATGCACATAAATCACATAAACTCCTAGGCCACACACACTGTTCATCAGGCAGAACAGATACACAGTGGATATACTGGCAAGCTGAGTTCTCCTAACTGCATCTCACACTCTGCTACCCCTCCCTTCTCCATCTTGCTCTGTGCTTGTCCTTAGCCCCACTGTGTCCTCTAGCCTGACTGGTAGCAAAAGTCAAACAGAGAAGCTGGGCATGGTGGCACAAGGCTGTAATCCTAGCACTCAGGAGGCTGAGGCAGGATAAGGAGTTTGAGGCTAGTCTGGGCTACAAAGTGAGACCCTGTCTCAAAGAAGGAAAGACTGCCTAGGAGGGTCCAGAGGCAGAAAGAGGAGGGTGAGAGGTGAAGAGAGAAGACAGTGTAAATGAGGAGGAAAGACAAGAAGTGTACCAGCCTTTTCTCCGACTAAAAGCATTGCTTCAGACAGCCTCAAGGTCTATCCACCTGGGGGACACTGAGGACACTCTTTCCCTCCACCCTCCTCAGGGGATGACTCCCGCAGAACATCCCACTCTTTGGAAATACTCAGAGGAAGATGTCAGCCCAGTCCTTTCCTACAGCAACGCCCCCTACCCTGAAGCCCCCTCGGATCATCCGCCCCCGGCCCCCCTCTCGTCATCGGGCTCCTCACTCCCCAGGACCTCCCCACAATGGCTCCTCTCCGCAAGCACTTCACCAAACTTCCAACGATGCATCAGCTTCAATGTGCACCCCCATCTTCTGGGAGCCCCCGATTACATCCCTCAAGCCCTCTGCCCTTCTGCCCCCCTCAGCTTCTAGAACCAGTCTAGACTCTCAGACTTCCCCAGACTCGCCTTCCAGTACACCCAGTCCCAGTCCAGCGTCTCGGCGCTCCATCTCCCCTGAACTGGCTCCCTGCTCTCCAGTACCCCCACCCAAGCCCTCTGGGTCACCCCGCACACCTCTGCCCTTGCTCCCTGTGCCTCTCCAGGATGGCTCTCTCTCGGCCCCTGGCACAGTGCGGAGGCTGGCTGGCAAGTTTGAGTGGGGGGCTGAAGGCAAGGCCCAGGTCTCAGACTCCCTGGAGCGGTGCTCCCAAGGAGGCACCGAAGTGAATGGGGAGAGAGAGACTACCCAAGGCATCCTCTCCGGGACTGGGTCCCAGGAGAATGGCACTCTAGGTAAGTACATGGTGCGGCTGGGGTGGTCTCAATTCAGCACATCTTTGTTTTCAATGCTTGAAGATTGAGGTCTTTAAGGAGCTGGACTTTGTGTTTGAGTAATCTGCTCTCTGTAGTTCTCAGGATTTGCAGACAGGAAGGGTGCAGGAGATATATAGATGCGTGGGGCTGACCTTGATGTAAGGAAGAGGCCCAGATGGAGGGAGTCAAGGGCTTCCTCTTTAGGCTGCCTCTTCTGCCACAGATGCTGTCCTGGCTTGCCCTCCTGGCTGCCCCTGTGTCTGCCACCTAGCAAGGCCTGGCCTGGAGCTCCGATGGGTGCCTGTAGGGGCTTCTGATGACATCCTCAGGCTCCCCTGCCGGGCATCCCCACTGCGAGCCTCCCGTTCCCGCATCAGCCCTCCAGTCATCAGTCACCCTCCAGTTGTCCTCACATCTTACCGCTCCACTGCTGAGCGCAAACTCCTACCCCCCCTCAAACCCCCCAAACCTACTCGAGTCAGACAGGATACCCGTACTTCTGGGGAGCTCCCACAGCTGGACCTGGATCTGCCTTCAGAAGATGGGATCCAAACAGGTATGGACCAAGGGTGGACTGGACTGGTAGGGCCTTTGTGGGTTTTTTTTTTTTTTGGTCTTTTTGAGACAGGGTCTCCCTCTAGCCCCAGCTGGCCTAGAACTTGCTATGTAGACCAGACTGGCCTTGTCTCAGAGATGTACCTGCCTCTGCCTCTGGAGTACTGGGATCAAAGGCAGGGGCCACCACCCCTGGCTGGGACCTCTGGGTTCTGAAGGGATAGGGTAGAGGCTGAGTGGCCAGCTGAAATCCCACCAGGCACCAAACTTTTTGTTTCATCAGCTGCTGATCTGGACTTGGTGGGAGTGGAAGTCTTGGTAGTGACCATTTCCACTGTGACTGAGGTTCAGAGTCTTGGGCTGGGGCCCTGCAAGTTAGCTATGGTGACTCTGGGTTCTTTTTCCAGGAGACAGTCCTGTTGAAGTTCCTCAGAGTGCTCCTCCTGCAGCTTTGGAAGGAAGGTACCAATCACCTCACACATGATCTCCTTCTTTCCCACCCAAGGGCAGACTAACCTTCAGGTCCAGGTGAATCATACCTCATGAAGATAGAGGGGAGAAGGGTCAGGGTTCTAGAGATAAGGAACCCAAGTTTCTAATCTGAGCTCTATGCTTTATTCGTTGTGTAACCTTAAACAAATCTTCACTTTTTCTGGGTCTCAGAATCTTTGTCTGAGGACTAGGGATAAGCATGCCAACTATTTCATGGAGTTATTGAGGTACAATATTGTTCTTTTTTTTTTTTTTTTTTTTTTTTTTTTTTGGTCTTTTTGAGACAGAGTTTCCCTGTAGCCCCAGCTGTCCTGGAACTCACTATGTAGACCAGGCTGGCCTTGAACTCACAAAGATCTGCCTGCCTCTGCCTCCCAAGTGCTGGGATTCCAGGCGTATGCCACTATGCCTGGCCAAGGCACAATATTGTTAAAGACTAAGCCCAAGCTAGATCTGGTAGCACAGGCCTTTAACTCCATCACTCAAAAGGCTGAGGCAGAGAATCAGAAATTGAGGCCATCCTGGGCTGCATATTGATATGAGAGAGAGAGAGAGAGAGAGAGAGAGAGAGAGACAGAGAGAGACAGAGAGAGACAGAGACAGAGACAGACAGAGAGAGAGAGAGAAACAGAGATACAGAGAGAGAGAGACTCTCTGCTCTCTAGGTTTGCCAATCATTTTAGACCAACTGTCATTATCAGAAGAAATCCAGATCTGTTCATTTGTTTAGAAAATATTTATTACTGCAGTTTTTGACTTGTGTGAGTGGGTAGATGATGGTGTTGGTAATTAGAAGAAGGGGATAGAAGGCTACAGGTGTGAGAGTTTGGGTTTGAACATATGAAGTTTCATCAAGGCACAAAGAGAATCTTCCAGACAAAGATGCTATATGAGAGGGCTGGAGAGAAGAACTTGGAAGTCTCTGATGCACAGCAGTTTTGAGAGAGAGCAAGAATGGGGCCCAACTTGCTAATGGCCTCCCCTACAACAGGCACATAGAAACATCTGGAGTTTGATCTGGGGAACTGGCAGGGTCCTTCCATACAATGTGCATATGAGTTGTGTATCCATTCCTCTGGTAGCATGTGAATTGCACCTATAGACTAGAGCCCCCATTTCTTCTTTTTCTGCACAGGGAAGAAGAAGAGCTGGAGGGGCTGAAGGAGCAGACCTGGGAGCTTCCCCTGCAGGATGGTGGGTCTCTACTGTGATACGTTGGAGGGAAGGGTTCTGGGGCCCAGGACTTCCCTGATGTTCTCTGTATACCTTCCAGAACCTCTCTACCAGACTTACCGGGCAGCTGTACTGTCAGAGGAACTGTGGGGTGTAGGCGAGGATGGGAGCCCCTCTCCAGCTAATTCTGGAGAAGCTCCCACCTTTTCCAGGCTCCCTGGACCTCGCAACACCCTGTGGCAGGAGCTCCCAGCTGTGCGAGCCAGTGGACTCCTGGAGACCCTTAGCCCCCAGGAGAGACGCATGCAAGAGGTATGCTTCCCTGAGTGGGACTGAGAAGGCTAAGATGGGCAAGGACATGAGCCCTGGGCTGGTCATGAGATGACCTTTCCACTATGGCCCTGCTCTTCTGTCTAGAGCCTGTTTGAGGTGGTGACCTCAGAGGCCTCCTACCTGCGTTCTCTACGACTGCTGACTGACACCTTTGTGCTAAGCCAGGCACTCCGGGACACACTCACTCCCCGGGACCACCATACGCTTTTCTCCAATGTGCAGCGAGTCCAGGGTGTCAGTGAGCAGTAAGTTGGGTCCTGTCCTTCTAGGAATCTAGACCTTGGGCTGCTGAGCACTCCTTTAGCTTTCTTCCTATTCTAGAACCTTCCTTCCTTCCTTGAATGCAAATAGTTCCTAGCCCTCTCCTGAAAACCCTGGAAGATCTGATTCTCTGGCTTTCCACTGCCTGCTTCCTCTCTGCCTTCAGGTTTCTAGGAACATTGCTGTCCCGTGTACGTTCTTCCCCTCACATCAGTGACCTGTGTGATGTAGTGCATGCCCATGCAGTGGGTCCTTTCTCAGTGTATGTGGATTATGTGCGGAACCAACAGTATCAGGAGGAGACCTACAGCCGCCTTATGTGAGTACAGTGCTGCCCCCCTTCTCTCTGGGGATGTGTACCCAGATCCCCAGTGGATAGTATTAAATCTTATATGTACACGCCTATGAAAGTTTAATTTATAAATTGGGCCCAGTAAGAAATTAATAATAGCTAATAATAAAATAGAAAACTTAGGGCAATATAATGTAGTAAAGTGTCAACATCACTGCTCTTGTACTTTGGGATCATTATTAAATAAAATAAGGATTACTTGGACACAGTTCTATGATACCACCACATTCAATCTGATAATTGGGACAGGTACTATATGATTAATGGGTGGGTAGTGTATATAACATGGATACACTGGACAAAGGGATAATTCAGGTTCCAGATGAGATGAGGTAGGATGTTTTGAGATTTTTATCATGCTAGTCAGAAAGCATTCAATTTGAAATTTATGAATTGTTTCTGGGATTTTTCATTTAGTACTTTTAGGCTGCGGTTCTTGTTAGGTAATTGAAACTATAAAAACAAAACTATGGATAAGGGGGACTTCTGTATCCCAGAGATGGAGGGAACTGTGGAGCAGGGTTAGGGTTGAGGCCAGAGCTGGCTGGGGCAGGGGCGGTGTCAGGACCGTACTTCAGACAGTCCTTGCCAGATCAACTTCCTTTGCAGGGACACAAATGTGCGGTTCTCTGCGGAGCTGCGTAGGCTGCAGAGCCTCCCCAAGTGTGAGAGGCTCCCACTGCCATCTTTCCTGCTACTGCCCTTCCAGCGCATCACCAGGCTCCGTATGCTGCTGCAGGTATTGTTCTGGCTTGGCGCCTGTTCTACCCCACCAGCCTCACTGTGAGAACTCGCTCCATGTGTCTCTAGTCTAACCATCACCATTTCCTACCCCACCATGACTACATAAATCCTCCAGATTGTGACTTCTAATTTGGACCTTTCTGTTTAGAACCCATGAAACCCAATCTGCAGCTCCCTAAATGCCTCAGGGGCCAGAACTGGTATAGAGAGAAGGCATTTTAGACTGTCTTCTGCTCAGCCTCTAACTAGTTGAGATTGCCCCCAAAGGGGCAAATATTGGTTTTCAGGGGAATGAAAAAAATTAGCTATTTATAATGATTGTGTACTTCAAAGGGTCACAATAAATAGATTAACAGTATATCTATAAAGTTAATTTAAAATTTAAAAATTTTAAATTATTTTTATTTTATGTGTATGAATGTTATGCCTGCATGTATGTAAGTGCACTCATGTCATGCAGTGCCCACAGAAGCCAGAAAAGGGCATCAGGTCAACTGGTGGTTAGCCACGATGTGGGTGCTGAAAGTCAAACCTGGATCTTCTGCAAGAACAGTCAGTGCTCTTAACTATTGAATCATCTTTCCAAATCCCTATAAAGTTAATTAAAAAAAATTTTTTTTTTCATCCTTTTGAGACAGGGTCTCCCTGTAGCCTCAGCTGTCCTGGACTCACTATGTAGACCAGGCTGTCCTTGAATTCAGCTGGGGCTATAGGGAGACCCTGTCTTTAAAAAAGAAAAAAAAGGAAAAAAAAATGTTACATAGTGGAATAATACTGAGAAAAAAGAGTCCGCCTGCCTCTTCCTCCCAAGTGCTGGGACTAAAGGTGTGCACCACCACGCCAGGCTTAAAAATATTTTAAAATTTATTTTTATTGTATATGTATGAGTGTTTTGCTTTTTATTGTATATGTATGAGTGTAAGTGCACCCATTTTGTGCCATACCCATAGAGACCAGAAAGGGGCATCAGATCCCCTGGAACTGGAGTTATGCATGGTTGTTAGCCACTTGTGGGTACTGGGAAATGAACCTCGGTCCTCTGCAAGAGCAACCAATATTCCTAACTGCTGAGCTATCTCTCTAGTCCCATAAAGTTAAATTTTTATGGTGGCTGTGGGGTGGTATGGTAGGGAGCTTGCTTAGCATGTACAAAGCCTTGGGTACAATCTCCCGCACCACTGAAGAACTAAATAAATAAAAATAAGAATAAATTAAAAAGTTCTGCTGGGTGTGGTGGTGCACATGCCTCTAATCTCAGCATTTGGGACTAAAGTGAATTTCTGTGAGATTGAGGCCAGCCTGGTCTACATAGCAACTTCCAGGTCAGCTGAGGCTATAGGGAGACCCTGTCTTTAAAAAAGAAAAAAAAGTAAAAAAAAATGTTACATAGTGGAATAATACTGAGAAAAAAATGGCAGTGGGGTTGAGAAATACTTTTTAAAACATTTATTTATTTGTTTATGTATGTGTACGTGTGTGGCAGTCAGAAGACAGTTTACAGTTCTTTCTTTCCACCATGTGGATCCAAGACTGGAACTCAGGTCTTTCAGTTTGGCTGTCAGCATCTCTCCTAGTTTGTTTCTCCACTGCTGTGACAAAACACTGACCACTACCAACTTGGGGAGGAAAGGGTTTATTCAGCTTACATCTCCCGGGTCACAGTTCATCAGGGAGCCCAAGGTAGGAACTCAGGGCAGGAACCTGGAGGCAGGAGCTGGAGCACAAGCCATGGAGGAACACTGCTTGCTCCTCTGCCTCTGTTCAGCCTGCTTTCTTATGCAACACAGGCCCACCTGCCCAGGGGTGGTACCACCTACAGTGGGCTGGGCCCTTCCACATCACTGGACAATCAAGAGGGTGCCCCATGGACATGGCCACAGGCCAGTCCAATGAAGGAAATTCCCCAATTGAGGCTCCTCAACCCAGGTGTGTCGAGTTGACACTAAAGCTATCTAGCACAGCATCTTAACTTGCTGAGCCACCTCAGGATGACTTGTAGGAGTCAGTTCCCTCTTTCACTATGTAGGTCCTCCAGGTGCCTTTACCTGCTGAGTCCAGAAGCACTTTTCTATTGCAAGGTGTAGACTCCTGTCTCACTAGTTCACTCATATTGGGCTTTTTTTTTTCACATTTTTGTGTATTTCATACAGAACATTTTAATCATCTTTATACCCCCCTTTCCCACTGGCACCCACCCATACTTCCACACTGGAATTCATAACATTCTGTCATTTGTATTAAGGTGTATGGAATCAAGTTAGTGTCTCCAGATCTCCCTCAGTGCAAGTTCATCCACTGAGGTCTAGTTATCCAGAGTCCCTCCCTTTAAGAAGATTAGCTCATGGGGCTGGAGAGATGGCTCAGTGGTTGAGAGCACTGAACGCTCTTGCAGAGGACCCAGGTTTGATTCCCAGCACCCACATGGTGGCTACGAACCGTCCTTAACTCCAGTTCCAGGGGAATCCGAAGCCCTCTTTTGACCTCTGAGGTCACGACACAGGTGCAAACACATACATGCAGGCAATACACTCATACACATAAAAAAAAAAAAAAAAGATCAGTTCTTCCTCACCCAGCAGTAATCAGCTGCCAATAATTCTTCGGCTAAGACTGGGGCCTCCTGCCCATTCCCACGTTCTATGCTAGGTTTTTGTCTGCTTGAGTTTGCATGGGTCTTGTGCATGCTGACACCATTGCTGTAGGTTCATATGTATCAGATTTCCATATGGTCATGTACCTCCTCCCTGGCTCTTACAATCTTTCTGTCCCCTCTTCTAAAATGGTCCCTGAGTCCTAGGTGGGTGAAGTTTAATATAGGAGTTCTATCCAAGGACCCACATTCTGCATTCTCTACCCTTTAGTCATTTGTGTCTTTTTGTGTTCATGGCCTTCTGTTGCATGAGGGAGCCTTGTTGATGAGAATTGTGAGATGCATTAGTATTCTCTCTACCCCTTGTTCCACTATGTTCTGTGAGCCATTGTAAATGTGTTCATATTAGACTCTTAATGTGAAGTCTCCAACTGGATGATGCTGTGGTTATTGTTTTTCTTTTTCTCTTTCCTTTCCTTTCTTTCTTTTTAGAACTCACTATGTCGCTCAGGCTCGCCTTGAATTTGCAAACTTCCTGCTTCAGAGTTCTGAGTGTTGGGATTGCAGCTGTTTGCATTTTTTTTTTTTTTTTTTTTTTTTTTTTTTTTTTTTTTTTTTTTTGTGTTGCTGGGGATCAAACTCAAGGCCTTATACATGCTAAACTAGTACTCTGTTACTTTATTACTGAACTCCAACCCAGCCTTTAAGTCTTACTCAGCTTTGTCTGTCCCCCATGTAGACAACATGCCAATACTGATGCCATAATAACTCAGGGACTACTGAGTGTGCTGTTCTAGCCTACTTCTAAGTGCTAATATGCCTGTTTAACCTCACCAACAAGCACATGGGGTTAGGAACTATTATTTACCTGACTGTAAAGAAGGAAACTGAGCTGGGCGTGGTAGCACATGCCTTTAATCCCAGCACTTGGGAGGAGGATCTCTGAGTTCACAGCCAGCCTGGTCTGCATAGTGAGTTCCAGATCAGCTGGGGTTACAGGAAGACTCTGCCTTAAAAAGACAAAAAAAAAAAAAGAAGGAAACTGAGATGTAGATTGAATGACTTGGCCCTAGTCATACAAAAATAAAGGATGGAGCCAGGTGCAGTGGTGCATGCTTGTAATATCAGCCTGAGGCAGAAGGATTCAGAGGTCAAGGCCAGCCTGGGCTACCTAGGAAGACCCTGTCTCAGAAAGACACATGAACTTTTAAAAAAATAAAAGATGAAAATTTTCAATTCAATTAGAAAATTGAAAGCCAGGCATTCCTAATTGCCCTGCTATACTGTTGAAGCTAGTCATTATTAAAATAATAACAACCCTCTCTTCTGGCATTTACTGTGTGCCAAGGACAAGCCCTTTTCATCTGTTACTCCCTGAATCCTCACAATGCTATTGACATACTGAATAGATATCAGCCTCATTTTGCAAATGGGGAAAGTGGGGCTCCAAATAGTAATGTGACTTGTTCGGGCTTCAGCAGCTGGTGAGTGGTAGGTCTCTTGGCCTTGTTGAGGGTGAGTCTAGGGGCCCTGTGAACCCCAAATTTAACATTTGGCCAAGCTCGGAAGGGTCCTCTTAGCCATAGCCCCTCTGAATCCCAGGGCCATAGAGCATGGAGCTCAATCACCCTTCCTTCTTGTTTCCAGAATATCCTACGCCAGACAGAGGAGGGGACCCTGCGCCAGGAGAATGCCCAAAAGGCTTTGGGTGCTGTGAGCAAGGTGTTCAGGAGGGAAGCTGAGGGGTTGGGAGAGGTGCCAGATGGTGGGGGAAGGTGGAAGGGAAGGAGTGGCTGCTAGGGTGGGTGACTCTGCTCCCCTCACCAGATCATTGAGCGCTGTAGCGCTGAGGTGGGACGTATGAAGCAGACTGAAGAGCTGATCCGACTCACCCAAAGACTGCGCTTCCACAAAGTCAAGGTTAGTCCTATCCAGATCCCCGTCTTGCCTTTTTCCCTACCATGCTGCAAAGTGAGACCTTCCTGTGCTTCCTTCCAGGCTCTGCCTCTGGTCTCCTGGTCGAGGCGCCTGGAATTGCAGGGGGAGTTGACTGAGTTGGGGTGTCGGAGAGGAGGTGTGCTCTTCACCTCCCGCCCCCGCTTCACCCCTCTCTGCCTGCTGCTCTTCAGTGACCTGTTGCTTATCACTCAGCCCAAGAGGTGGGTCCTGTGGGGGAGCCCAGAGCAGGGTGGAAAGGAGGCATCTAGTGGGCCCCCTGCTCTCCTCTGAACGCCCTCTTCTCTGGGCAGTGGGCAGCGGCTACAGGTTCTGGACTATGCCCATCGCTCCCTGGTGCAGGCCCAGCAGGTTCCTGACCCATCTGGACCCCCTACATTCCGCCTCTCCCTTCTCAGTAACCACCAAGGCCGCCCCACCCACAGGCTACTCCAAGCTGCCTCGCTGTGAGTCTGTCTCTAGAAAACACTTTTGGGGGGCTGGCTATGCGGCTCAGTGGTAGAGGTCTTGCCTACTGTATGTGAGGCCCTGGGTTCAATCCCAGCACTGCAGAAGAAAACAAACTAAGTGGTTGCCTACTCCTGTAATCCAACCACCGGGGAGACTAGGGTAGGAGGACCAAGAGTTAGAGACCAGCCTGGGCTACATACCAAGACCTTATCAAAATAAGTAAATAAGCTAGCCACTGTTGGAACTGCCCCTTACCACCCCACTGCCTCTCTCTCTCCTCTGCCTCATCCCCAGGAGAATCTCCTAGGTTAACCGTAACCATTACTTATTATCACCACCAGATCAGATATGCAACGCTGGCTGGGAGCCTTCCCAACCCCAGGCCCCCTTCCCTGTTCCTCAGACACCATTTATGAGGACTGTGGTAAGTATCCCTTAAAGGGAGAAGGGAAAGAAAAGTGAGTCTTAAGGGAAATATGGGGAGGCACTAAAAAGAATTAGAATCCCACTGTAATGTTACTCACTGTACCAGAGTGCTCCCAGGAACTGTGCTCAGAACAGTCTATACCTTCTAAGACCGAGGGCCGAAGTCTGGAGTCCAAGACTCCTCCCAAGCATCTGCACAAGAATCCTGAAGGTGAGAGAGCCTTTCATCTACCCATTCAGCAAATATTTATTAAGTACCATGAGCCAAAAACATACCTCCCCTCCTCCATCCCCTTAGCAGTGCTGGATCCAATCCAGAGCCTTACCTATAGGCAAGTGCTATACCATTGAGCTACATTCCCTAGCTGAAGCGTGCATTCTAACAGAGAAGGCAGACAATAAAGGATAAACAAATTCCCACATGTGGCCCATATCTATAGTCATAGCATTGGAGAGGCTGAGGCAAGAAGATTGTTATGAATTTGAGAGCAATCTGGGCTACATAGTGAATTCCATGTCAGCCAGATCTACATAGCAAGACACAATCTCAAACAAAGCAAAGCAAGGATAAATGAGATAAGTAAATTATATATAATATGATTAATGCAGTGGGAAAAGAGTGGACAGTAAGGAAGATTTCAAACAGGTGAGATGGGCCTCAGTGGAAGAGTTACATGTGAGTTTGACAGAGGTGATCAGTATAGGCACTCAGTGTCTGAAGGAAGAGTAGACCAGCTGGAGGGAACAAGCAGGGCAAAGACCTTAGTATCTGTCATGTGGTGAAGGAACTGTAAGGAAGGTAGTGTGTCTAGAAAGAACCAGAAAAGGGGAGGGGAATAGATGAGGTCACAGTGGTAACAGAGACCTGATCTTGCAGCTCCTTGCAGGTCCTTGTAAGAATTCTTCCTGAGTGACATAAGCAGCTGTTGCAGGGCCCAATAGAAGATTGACACAGGCTCTCTGATGCTGCTGTCACTTCCAGCAGTTGTACTGAAGCCAAATGCTCCATACTTCTCCACAAATCGCTAACCCACTATGACCTGAGACCCCAGAGGGCCTAATTTCCCTCCTCACCTGACCTCTGCCCCTGCCCTACTCAAGCCCAGGTTGTTCTTTCCCCAGGGTGGCTGAAGGGGCTTCCTGGAGCCTTCCCTGCCCAATTGGTGTGTGAAGTCTCAGGGGAACATGAAAGGAGAAAGCACCTTCGAAGGCACCAGAGGCTTCTTGAGGCTGTGGGGTCCTCTTCAGGGACCCCTGGAACCTCCCAACCCTAATGTGGGTTGGGGAAGGGGCACACGTTGGGATGCTGGCAACAGTACAAAGAAGACAAAGCCTATCCATCCATTCATCTGTTTGTCCATTGGATTGATTCACTGTCAGTGGAAATACTACCTCTAATGGCAATCAATAGGGATGGAGCTTCAGGACAGGCCAGACAATGAATCAAAGCCATCTGAGCCCACAACAATAAGGAAGTATGAGGATAGTTTGATTGTGTTACTAATGGAGACAGATGCTGAGTACAGAGCAGCTAATGGCTTCTGAGCTAGCTGGATACCACTGTATTTTCATAACTAAGGAAGAGGAAGGTGAGCGAGTATGTTAAACTGAACTACAGAAATAGCCCTATAGACAACAGGGATGGGCAGGGACCCATCCAGCCAAAGCAGATGGTGATTTGAGCCCGAGAGACTCAAACCGAGTCACCAGGCTCGGTTCTACAGCCACTGGTCCTGCCCTTTGAGTCTAGGAAGTATTCAGTTCCATTTCTGGGCGTACTTCCTATGCCCTTTCAAAGGATTTCCTTTCTTTTAGAAGAACCCACAGTGTGTGTATGTCCATATGCGTCCATGTGTATATGAATCTAGGAAAGTAATTCTGAAATTGTGTGTGTGTGTGTGTGTGTGTGTGTGTGTGTGTGTGTGTGTTGGCTACTCCTGCCAGTGACTGAATGCTCCATTCCTTTTCTCATGTCACATTTTTCCTGTTATTTTCTTTAAAGACATGTCTGAGCTCTAGAAGACAGTGCTGGGTGTAGCTTGCCCATCAGAGTACAGCACTGGGGATGAAAGCCATGGATTCTGGGTTTCTTGGAGGCCAGGGTTCCACAACAGTTGGAGGGTGATGCTATGAAACAGTCAGGTGGCCTGGCAGAGCACTGAGTAGCTGGGGTGCAAGATCCCCTGAAGTCCGTGGGCCACTTCTTGTCCCAAACACTGGCTTCCATAATCCACATCTGCATATCCTCCCAACTTGAACTGTGATCATGAATGTCAGCTGGCCTCCGCCTCAGACTGCATCAGAAGTTGAGTTCCAGACAGGTTGGTGAGTCTCCTGGGCTTCCTGCATCCTGATAATCTCATAGAAACAAGACCATAGGCTGCTGGTGGTGCTGCCCAACCTCAACTAGGGTGTCTGTTTCTAAAAAGAACCGGCCTGCATGATGCTGGAGGAGGTAAGGGCAAAGACAGTGGGACACACAGTTGCTGAAGAGGAAACTCAAGCCTAGGGCAAGGCCTTCTCTGCACAACTGTGTCATACTCTTCCTTCAACTCATGCATGGCAACCTGCCCAGGACAGAAACTACCATGGTAACCGTGGGATGTATAAGGACTTTGGAGACTGGAAGGGAGAAGGGGCACTAACATGTGGCATCTCCACAACTTTCGAGATTCACCCAGCATAGTGCCAATAAATGGGAAACTGCCAATAAATGTTGCTGGCATCATACTGAGTCTCTTCAAGGCACTGTGTGCTTAGAAGAACAGTGGTCTACAAATACAGCCTTAGATGGGGATGAGGCTGGTTGCAAAGATTTGAAGAACAGGTGTCAGTTCTGCTGGAACTACAGCTTGGTGGCCTGAGTGTGTGTTCCCTTCTTCCCCCCCCCCCAATCCTCCACTGGGCAGCAGCAGCTTCTGTGGCTGGGGACTATTGCAGACTGGGGAAGAAGTGAGGAGAGGGCAGGACCAGAATGACTGAGGGATCTGGTAGGGGATGAAGATGCAATGACAATGCCAAAAGGAGCAGCAGAGAGTCATCAACAAAGGCCCTTTACTGACCAACCAAGTCCTCTGCTTTTAAGTCAGTTCTGTGCCTACTTATTGAATGCTGCTGCCTCTTCTTCTTCTTCTTCTTCTTCTTCTTCTTCTTCTTCTTCTTCTTCTTCTTCTTCTTCTTCTTCTTCTTCCTCCTCCTCCTCCTCCGCCTCCTCCTCCTCCTCTTCTTCTTCTTTTCTTCTTTTTTGTCTTTTTGAGATTGGGGTCTCCCTATAGCCCCAGCTGGCCTTGAACTCACAGAGATCCACCTGCCTCTGTCTCCCGAGTGCTGGAATTAAAGGCGTGCGCCACTACACCCAGCTTGAATGCTTCTTAAGTGTCAGGCACAGTTCTAGGATCTGAGGAGACAGATGAAACAGACAACGCAGAAATTAGAGAGCTGACTAGGAGGTTAAGAGCACTTCATGCTCTTCCAGAGGACCCAGGTTCTATTCCCAGCACCCATGTCAGGCAGCTCACAATCACCTGTAACTCCAGCTCCAAGAGGATCCAAACGATTCTGGCTTCTGAGAACACATACACTCACACAAGCCTACACAGACACATAATTAAAAATAATAAAAATAAATCTAAGCCAGGCATAGTGGTACATGCTTTAATTTCAGCACTTGGGAAGCAGAGGCAGGAAGAGCCCTGTGAGATTGAGGCCAGTCTGGTCTACATAGCAAGTTCTTTCTAGGCTAGTTGTAGTTACAGGGAGATGCTATCTCAAGAAGCAAACACCCCAAACAAACAAAACCTTCAAAAAAAAAAAAAAAAAAAAACCCTCAAAACGTAAAAAAAGAAAAAAAGACAATGCCTTTACCCTCAAGGGTTCTACATGGATTTGAGGGGGTGGATTACCCAATCAACAAATTAACAGAGAAGACTAAATGAGGGAGAAGTGTTATGAAGAAACCAGGGGTGGTGACACAGAATGGTCCTGGGGTTGGGGAGAGAAGTTTCAGGGAAGATCCTGGAGGAGATGATGTCTGAGCTGAGCCCCAGATAACAAGGAGGAAGATGCTGTATAATGCAGGGGAAGTGGCAACAAGGGGATTGTGGGCCAGGAGCAGCAGGTAGAGTGAGTAGGGGTGAACTTGGTACATCTGCACCTGTTTCCCGAGGAGACTTCCTCTCCACCAAGCTCCCTTCCTGCCTTTAAAAAATATTTTTTTGGAGGCACGGTCTCACTGTATAGCCCAGGTTGGCTTCAAACTTTGCCAGTGCTAAATCTCCCAAATGCTGGGATTACAGGCATGAGCCATCATACCCAGCTCCTTTTGCTCTTCGACATAAGAGAGACAAACAGGGGGCTGGTGAGATGGATCATCAAGTAATCGTGTTTGCTGCTATGCCATGGCACATGGGCATACCTGCACCCATGCACATGCACATGTGTGTATGCATACACATACATACACACAGGAGATGAATAAATATTTGAAAAACGAAAGACAGGCTGGATTTCATGTACCTTTATGCCTCCAGAATAACTCATATAAGATCAGTTTCTTCTATTTTATATCAGAACCTCTGAATTGGAGTATGGGGAGTTTTGAGTGGCTACTCTTGCAAAGGACTTGGGTTCAGCTCCCGGCATCCACATGGCAGCTAATAACCATCTGTAACTCCATTTCCAGAGGATATTATGCTCCCTTCTGGTCTCTGTGGGCATTGCATGCACGTGGTATACTTAAATACATGCAGGCAAAACACTCATACACATAAAATAAAATAAAATAAATTAAAAAAAAATCAAAAGACAGAGACAAACTGATTTACTCATTGACCAGGAGATATCCAGGAACTGGTCTGTGCTTGTTAGTTTCAGTTGTCAGCTTGACATACCTGGATAGAGGGAGCCTCAGTTGGTGAATTGTCTCCATTGGACTGGCCTGTACCCATGTCTATGGGGCATCTTCTTGATTACTGAGTGATGTGAAAGGGCTCAGTCCACTGTCAGTGGTGCATAGGTGCACCCTGGGCAGGTGGACCTATGTTGTATAAGAAAACAGGTTGAGCAGGGGTCAGGGAAGCAAGCCAGTAAAGAGTGTTCCTTTATGGCCTGTGTTCCAGCTACTACCTCCAGGTTCTTGCCCTGGGTTCCTACCTTGGGCTCCCTGATGAACTGTGATCTGGGAGATGTAAGTCAAATAAACCTTTCTTCCCCAAGTTGGTATTGGTCTGTTTTGTCAAAGCAATGGAGAAACAAACTAGAACAAGGTCAAAGTCACACATGTGCCCCCCACACTTTCTTTCCTAGCCCTCTTACCCCCATCAGAGCCTTGCCACTCTCTAGTCCCTTAACAAAACCTTCTTAATTCAGATAAAAAGTGAAAAGAGGACAGGAAATATAGTTCAGAACTGAGGCCCTGGATCCAGTCTCCTGTATTGCAAAATAAATGAATAACAAGTCACATAAAAAATATAGTCATAAACTAGACAAAAAGAAGTAAGCACACGGAAGAGTCCAGCAGGAGTTGAGAAAATATCAAATCCACAAACTTTTACTGAGCCTTTTTAAAAGGCTCAGATCAAAAAGAGGATAGGAGACTAGGGATGTAACTCAGTTACTAGGAGCACTTGCCTAGCCTTAGTTCAATTCTCAGGATCGCCCAAAAAGCAACAATAAAAGATGGAAAAGGAAGGGTTAAAGAGAAAGAGAGAAAAAAATATGGAGGAGGCCAGGCCCTGTTTAGAGATGAGTTCTGGTCTGCAGAGGCAGAGGCTAGGAATAGGAAAAAATACTGGTTTCCTACAGCTTCAGCCTCAGGTCTCCTAAAAGTGGATTCACAGGGGCATATGTTTCTATAAAATTTGCAAAAATCAAGGCAGTTGTGGTAGTTCATGCCTATAATCCCAGCACTTGAGAGCCTGAGGCAGGAGGATTGCTGTGAATTTGAAGTCAGCCTCAAATATAGAGTAAGACCCTGTCTTTAAAAACAACAACAGGACTGGAGGGATGGCTCAGTGGTTAAAAGTACTGGCTGTTCTCAGCACTCACAGGGTAGCTAACAACCATCCCTAATTCCAGTTCCGGAGGATCAGACATGCTCTTCTGGCAAAACCCTCATATATATAAAATAAAAATAAATAAATAATTTAAAAGATAACAAAATCATAAAAAAGAAACATCCTGGCATGGTGGTGCATGCTTTAATGCCAGCATCTGGGAGGTAGAAGCAGTCAGATCTCTGAGAATGAGTCCAGCCTGGTCTACATATCAACTTCCAGGCCAGCTAGGGCTACCAGGAGACTCTGTCTCAAAAATATTTTTTTTAAAAAATCCCAGTTAGAGCTGGGCATGGTGGCACACG